AAAAAAAAAAAAAAAAAAAGAGAAGGATGAATTCTATAGGCTGTTTGGGAGATTAAGTGAAATAATACAACCGCCTGTCACACAATAAGCACACGTAACTGTGGGTGGTTATTGTTATAAAGTTCACTGTCAGCAGTATGGCAAAGTAGAAGCGGACAGCTAACTCCCGACAGAAATCTTCAAAGAACATACAACATCTTGGAGATAATTAAACCCAGCTCGGTCCGGAAATCTCAGGGATCAGTACCCACTAAGTCCCAGAGGAGACTTGGCGGCCAGTTCAAATCAGAATCGCTACGGGGTTCGGTCACCCTGGCCCTCCCGGGCCCCACTCACCGAACTCCATCCAGTCCCACTCGCTGAGCGTGTCCATGTTTCGGCACAGATCGTCCAGCACCCAGGAGGGCAGCTGGTAGATGTAGCAGGACATGGCGAGGCGCGCGCGGAACTGAATCGGACGCGGCGGGACCCGGCTTCTCTAGGCCGGGGTGGGCAGTTCCCACCAGCTGGCTGCGCGGACCGGGAAGTGGGCGGGGCGGGTGGCCAGCACTGCCCCCCAGCGGCCACGTGCGGTAGAACGCAGCCCCGTGAGCTCCACCCCGCGGCTGGAAGACACAAAGGAGGGTCATAACTGCGTGGGGAAGACACCCAAAGCGGCGAAGGAACTTTGGAATTCCGCAGCAATCGCGGAGGCCTAGTGACCACTTCCAGTGTTTTTGGCACTACACTACGTATGATGCAGTCATCACATCCTCTACTTATTACCTACTGTAGCCCGGCACAGTGGCTCACACCTGTGACCCCAGCACTTTGGGAGGCTCAGGAGGGAGGATCACTTGAGGCCAGATGTTCCAGACCAGCCTGGATAAAACTGAATTATTAAATAGGGTGGGAGGAACAGAACTTACACTAATAATAGCTAGTAAATAGTAACCATTTACTATGTGTAGTCTTTACCTGGGTTACTTTACTTACTCCTTAACAGTGACCTATGTTTTGTTTTTTGTTTTTTTGTGTTTTTTTTTTGCAATTTTTCGCCAAGGCCAGTTTTGAACCCACCACCTCCAGTATATGGGGCTGGCACCCTCCTCCTTGAACCACAGGTGTCACCCAACAGTGACCTTATGAAGTACCTATGATTATTACCCTCACCTTAAGAATAAAGAAACTTTATTCTTAAGATGTGAGCCACATAGCAAGACCCTGCCTCTGCAACAATTTTATTTTACACTAATAATAGCTAGTAAATATTAACCATTTACTATGTGTAGTCTTTACCTGGGTTACTTTACTTATTCCTTTTTTTTTAAATTTTTTTTTTATTACTTCTTCCTCCTGTAGTGTTTTCTTGTTCATTTTTTAAAAAAACTGGCGAGTAGGGTGGTGCCTGTAGCTCAAGTGGCTAAGGCACCAACCATATATACCACAGCTGGTGGGTTCGAATCCGGCCCAGGCCTGCCAAACAATGACAATTACAACCAAAAAATATATAGCTGGGCGTTGTGGCGGGTACCTGTAATCCCAGCTATTCAGGAGGCTGAGGCAAGAGAATTGCTTACACTCAGGAGTTGGAGGTTGCTGTGAGCTGTGATGCCACAGCACTCTACCCAGGGGGACAGCTTGAGGCTCTGTCTCAAAAAAAAAAAAAAATCCCTGTCCTAGAGGGACACAGACAACACATGATGAAAATATTAAATAAAGGGAGGCGCCTGTGGCTCAGTGGGTAGGGTGCCAACCCCATACCAAGGGTGGTGGGTTTCGCCCCGGCCAAACTGCAACAAAAAAAATAGCCAGGCGTTGTGGCAGGCACCTGTACTCCCAGCCACTTGGGAGGCTGAGGCAAGAGAATTGCCTAAGCCTAGGAGTAGGAGGTTGCTGTGAGCTATGACGCCACAGTACTCTACCCAGGGCAAAAGAGTGAGACTCTGTCTCAAAAAAAAGCAGCAAACACAAAAAAAACTCCTGCTGTTTATCTGTATCTACAATATGTTTGGCATAAATGGTCTTACAGAATTCTTTTTTTTTTTTGAGACAGAGCCTCAAGCTGTCCCCCTGGGTAGAGTGCTATGGCATCACAGCCCATAGCAACCTCCAACTCCTGGGCTCAAGCGAGTCTCCTGCCTCCACCTCCCAAGTAGCTGGGACCACAGGCGCCCACCACAACGCCCGGCTATTTTTTGCTTGCACCCATCATTGTTGTTTGGCAGGCCCGGGCTGGATTCGAACCCACCACCTTAGGTGTATGTGGCTGGCGCCCTAGCCACTTGAGCCACAGGCGCCAAGCCACCTTACATAATTCTTATAAGCTTACACTGTAGATATTAACCCCATGTTGCACAGAAGTTAGTAGGTTCTAAGAACTTAGGTGACATCATCAACGACAGATATGGAATATGGCTGCAAAAATAATTTTTTTTAAATCAGAGTGAGAAGTCCTGAGGCCAAGACCCAGTATGCCATCAAGAGGTTCTATTGCTCTAGACAACTCATTTCACTTATCAAGCCTGGCTTCCGATCCTTACAGAGTGAAACTAAACATTCCTCCTGCTTAGAGTGAGGAGGGCATGGATTAAATCAAATTATACATCCTACCTACCAGGCTTTCCCTGAAAAGAGAATGTGCTCAAAAAATGGTAACTGCTGTGGCCCGCACAGTGGCTCACATCTGTAATCCTAGCACTCTGGGAGGCCAAGGCAGGTGGATTCCATGAGCTCACAGGTTCAAGACCAGCCTGAGCAAAAGCCAGAGCTTATCTCTAAAAATAGCAGGCATGTGGCAGGCACCGATAGTCCCAACTACTCGTGAGGCTGAGGCAAGAGAATCACGTGAGCCCAAGAGTTTGAGGGTGCTGCAAGCTGTGATGCCACAGCACTCTACCAAGGGCAACAAAGTAAGACTCTGTCTCAAAAAAAAAAAAAAAGGTAACTGCCACTGATATTCTTGAAAAGTGCACTCGTGGGCTTCGTTGTCTATCAAGGTTTGGTCCTAGGTTCAACCATTCTCTGGCTCCTTGTCCTTGAACAGTTTTCTCTTTTGTAAATTGGATTTCCTGCCCCAACCACATGGAAAGATTGCTATGAAAGGACTCCAAAGTGGTGGAGATAACCTGTGAAGTGCTAAGCCCAGTAAAAGATTACTTACTAATGTATAAGCCTACTTCCTCAACGTTATATAAAGATGGGGGGGGGGGCAGCACCTGTGGCTCAGTGAATAGGGAGCCGGCCCCACATACTGAGGGTGGTGGGTTTGAATCCGACCCCAGCCAAACTGCAACAAAAAAATAGCCGGGCGTTGGGTGGCACCTGTGGCTCAAAGGAGTCAGGTGCCGGCCCCATATACTGTCAAACCCGGCCCAGCCAAAAACTACAAAAAAAAAAAAAAAAAAATAGCTGGGCGTTGTGGCAGGTGCCTATAGTCCTAGCTACTCAGGAGGCTGAGGCAAGAGAATCCCCTAAGCCCAAGAGCTGGAGGTTGCTATGAGCTGTGATGCCATGGTACTCTACCGAGGGGACAAAGTAAGACTCTGTCTCTAAAAAAATAAATAAATAAAGATGCGGCATGTTTCAGTGCTCTGAGGCCACTTTTTCAAGTGAAGTCCCATGTTTTCAGCATGGCTGAAGGTGGACTTTAGGGTGGAGTACTCTACTGATGGCCTGCCAGACATTGGGTGGAAAGCACCTACATCTCAGGTGCAAAGGAACCGTCAGAGATGAAAGTTCACCCTGAACAGCTCAACGGAGCTGGTTTAGTTCACTCAGTAGAACTAGCAAGTTTAGCTGAGTCAAAGGGAGAGCAAGAAACCCGGGGAGAGGAAAATGAGGCAGCTGGGGCTCCAATATAGCAGAATGGGAGCAAACATCTTATTTAAAGTGAAGAAAAAGGGTATATTGTATTTAAATCACAGCAGAGTTAAGCATAGGCTTTTCCAGGGGAGTGGAAAAGGGTCCCCTCACCAGTGAGAGAAGAAGCCGCACAAAGGCAATACAGCAACGTGAGCACCTTCATCCCAGGTCCTCCCGCGTCCATCTGTACAAACTCCCAGGGGTGCCCCTGAGGCCTTCAGGTGTACTGTTCTAGTTTCCTTGGTTGTGCATTACCTCAATTGTCAGCAAATCCAATTTCCTTTACTCTGTATCAATAATTCTTTTTAAGACAGTCTCAAGCTGTCGCCCTGGAGCTCACAGCAACCTCTAACTCAGGCAATCCTCTTGACTCAGTTTTTCTATTTTTAGTAGAGATGGGGTCTCAATTTTTTCTCAGGCTGGGCTAGAACCCGTCTCTCTCAAGCAATCCACCCACCCCAGCCTCCCAGAGTGATAGGATTACAGGCGTCAGCCACCGTGTTGGCCTTGTATCAATAATTGTTAACTCTTATTTTACTAGGGATGGTATGACGTTTATTAGTCTGTGGCAACCATGGTATACATTGTTCTGCAATAGGGATCCTTATCTTTGTTTTATGAGGGAATCATTCACAGGCTAGAGGTCATGGGTCACAGACTATAAGTTACATTTCACAGAAACAGTACATACTTGTTTTAACTAGGTCACAACCACTCAAAATTTCTTTTTTACTTTTATTTATTTATTTTTGAGACAGAATCTCAAGCTGTCACCCTGGGTAGAGTGCCATTAACATCACAGCTCACAGCAACCTCAAAGTCTTAGGCTTAAACGATTCTCTTACCTCAGCCTCCCAAGCAGCTGGGAGTACAGGCGCCTGCCACAACACCCAGCTATTTTGGGTTGTAGTTGTTGTTGTTTGGCAGGCCGGGGCTGGATTTGAACCTGCCAGTTCTGGTGTATGTGGCTGGTGCCCTAGCTGCTGAGCTACAAGCACCAAGCCCACTCAAAATTTCTTGTTTGGGTGGTGCCTGTGGCTCAAAAGGGTAGGGCACCAGTCCTATATGCCAGAGG